CCTTTTGATATTTCATATTCTCACTGTTATTATTTACTACATACACTATAATTACAGTTCTAATGTGATTCATCACATTTATATTTAGCATTTCTTTTCAATCTTTGAAATATTTGTCACTTTTTATGGTTTTCAAAATATCTTTAAATTATTTCTAGTTGCATTGCATTGCTTGAAAGAATGTGGCTGCTATAATGTCACCATTTTGGGATTCATCTGGAATTTTTTTGCAAAGTAATATATGAAAAATTTTTATAATATTTTGTTAATTCTTACAAAATCTTATTTTTTATTGCTTACACGATTTAATATAGTATTACTACTCCTGCTTAATAATATACATCTTTATGTCTTTATATTTTAGTCTTTTTTGTTAAAGTCTGATAGAGCTCTAATTTGTTTAAAAAATACAGTATTTTAAACTTATATATTTCTAGCAGTTTTTCCATGTATTTTATGGTATTATTCAACACACAAACAATATATGGCCTATCTTATATTCATGACTTACTTGGTTTATTTTGAAATAGTCTTGAACACAAAAATTGCAAGTACAACTTGCAAATAATAAAGTAAGTTATGAAATAATCAAAATTTGATTTATTTTGAAACAATCTTGAATACAAAAGTTGCAAGTACAGTACAAATAACTTTTTTCTTCCTGAATCATTTAAGAGTATTTTGCTGATACGATGCCTCATCACTCCTATATTCTTTAGTGTGTATTTCCTCTTGAAAGAACATTTGCCCACTATAACCACAATAAAACCTTCAGAATCATGAAGTTAACATTATTATATTACTATCACCTAACCTTCAGAACCCATTACAATTTTATCAGATGTTAAAATAATGTTTTTTAAAATAACAAAAGATCAAACTCAGTTTCACGTAACACATTTCTTTTTTTGTATTTTTAGTTTCTTTGAATATCAAAGAGTTCCTGTCTTTTCTTGACTTCATGACATCAACATTCAACAAAATTATAAGCCAGTTATTTGGGGCTTTGTCTGATGTTTTCACATAATTATATTCAGGTTTTGTATCTTTGGCAGGAGAATCACAGAAAAGTGCAGTTTTGCTCTTGCTGCATTCTGTTAGGTGACACATGAATTGAACTTGTTCTATTATCAGTGATTATCTTTGATAATCTCTGCATGAAGATGGAGGCAGAGATCAGAGTGACGAAGCTACTGTCAAAAGAACCCCAAGGATTACTGGCAACAATGGAAGCCAAAGAGAGGCAGGGAGCGTATTCTCCCTCTGGAACAGAGGTTCCAGAAGGCACTGATCCGTTGACAATTTAAGTTCAGACTTCTAGCCTCCTGAACTGTAAGAGAAAAAGTTTCTGTTGTTTTAAGCCCCCAGGTTTGTCATTTTTCACTATGACAGCCCTAGGAAATGAATACAGAAGCAAAGAGGTTAGGAAAAGGGAAAAGAGGAAGCTGATGTAATTATTATAACTACTAAATATTTCTGTTGTTTCCATTGTTATTTTTTAAACAGCTTAATTGAAGTATAATTTGCATACAACAAGATTTACTCATTTTCAGTATGTAGTTCAATGAGTTTTGGCAAACGTGTGCAGTCACGTAACCACAACAACAATCAAATGATACAGCACCATATTGTCCCATGTGCATATAGAAAGTTAATTAAAACTAGTTAAAATTAAAAATTCATTTCCTTGTTTTAACTAGTTACATGTCAAATGCTCAATAGCCATTATGTGACTAGTGGTTTCCAGATAGGACAGAGAAGATTATGGAATATGTCCATCAAAATGTTCTATTGGACAGTGCTGATACAGAATATTTTCATCAACCCTCGAACATTCTACTGTTCCCTTTTGCAGTCAATTCCCTACCTTCACCCCTAGCCTCAGTCAATCACTGATCTTCATTCTGTCACTATATTTTGGCCTTCTCTGGAATTACACACAAACGAACTCACACCTCAGGTACTCCTTTATGTCTGGCTTCTTTTGATGAGCATGATATCATGGAGATTCTCCATGTTGTTCTGTATTTTAGTAGTCTGTTTCTGTTTTTTTGTTGGGTAGTGTTCCACTGAATGGATATACCACAATTTATTTATCTATTCATTAGATTTAAAATATTTCTACTATTTCTAGGTTTGACTGTTAAGAATAATGCTGATACAAATATTTACTTGTCAGTTTTGGAGTGGTATATGTTACATTCATTTTAGATTGCTCTGTAACAAATTACCACAAATGTGTAAGTTGTAAAAGCAGCCAATTATTATTTCACAATTTATCTGGGTCAGGAATCCAGGCATGACTTAGCTGGGGGTCCCCTGCTATGCTATAATCAAGGTGTTAGCCAAAACTGGGTACTCATTACTAGGCCCAACTAGGGAAGAATCTGTTTCCAAGCTTACTCAAGGAGTAGCAGTATTTCTTTGCAGTTTTGAAATAGAGGGCCCTGACCTCTTGCTGTTCAATAACAAAAGGCTGTCTTTGGATCCCAAGAAGCGGAACCTGAAGTTCCTTGCTACATAATATGCTTCTCTAAAATGGCGATTTACTTCATCATGCCAGCAAGGAGAGTCTCTAGCATGAGTCAGGTAGAAATAGGGTGGAGCTTTAGATAATGTTATGCAATCACAAGCGATTGACATCCTGTCACCTTTGCTGTGTCCTATTAGTTAGAAGCCAGTCATGGGGTCTGCCTTCACTCAAGGAAAGAGAGTTCTATAAATACATGAATTCCAGCGGTGAAGTTCATGGAGCAGACACTGTGGCTTCTGTCTGCCGCATGTGTTTTCATTTTTCTTAATACCTATAAGTGCAATTACTGGGTCACATGGCATGTATATGTATAATTTTATAAGAAAGTGCCAAATTGTTTTCCAAGACAGCCATATTATTTTGCATTCTTGTGAGCAAGGTTCTATTGCTTTTAATTTATATTTTTTGTTTTTGTTGTTTGAGATGGAATCTTCTCTTTCGCTCAGGCTCGAGTACAGTAGTGTGATCTCAGCTCACTGCAACTTCCACATCCTGGGTTCAAGCCATTCTCCTGCCTCAGTCTCCCAAGTAACTGGGATTACATACGTGCACCACCATGCCCAGCTAATTTTTGTATTTTTAGTAGTGCCGGGGTTTCGCTATGTTGGCCAGGCTGGTCCTGACCTCAGGTGATCTGCCCGCCTTGGCGTCCCAAATTGCTGGGATTACAGGCATGAGCCACCGTGCCTGGCCCTATATGTATTTTTTAAAGCAATAAATACATTTTGCTAACCCAGAGAATCTTTCTCTCTTAAAAGAGTAATTTACTCTCTTTGAGTCCTTGTATTTTTTCACAAATAAAAAGATGAAAATCAATTTGGGTAGAGAGGTGGAGGCAAAGCCATGTAGGGCTAAGTTCATGAGAGAACACAGGCGACAGAAATGTTAGTAGCAGGAACAGACAACACTCTGAGGATTTTGCATAAGAAAGCAGAAAAATGGTGCTGTGACAGGGGTCACATTTTGTTGTGTTCAGTAGACAAGAGATTTTATAACATGTTTGTCCACTGATATGAATAATCCAGTAAAGAGAAGGTGAGGGGCAGATGATCATGCAGGAAGAAGAGTTCATGCATTGCCACAGGAAGAAATGCAATGTATGTACCTTCAAATGCAGATAGCTTAGCAGAGTTTTGTGGTGGAAAGATGTGTGCACACAGCTAGTGTGTGGCCGAGCCAGGATGCAGATGCAGGCCCTCTAACTCCTGAGTCCACGCTCCAAACCACTTCACTGTTTTGCCAGCTATACATTTCCGCAGCTATGCATCTCTTATCTTAAATTGTTAAATAACAGAAACACTGCAATACAACAAATTAATTCTGCCAAAGGCTTTGTTTCCTTTAATAGGAAAAACAGACTTTAAGAACAATAGACTCAATTCTTTTACTTTTCAATCTTCTTTTGGGTGAATTCAATTTTATGAACTGTGAGGGTATTTTTATGTTTTTTAAAAAGCCTCTTGACAATCCTTCCCCTGCAAACTTCTACCCTATTCGTCCTCCTCCATCAAAGACATATTTTTTGCAATTGTATTTAACAGTCATGGCCTCACTTTTCATTCACTCATCAGTTCACTGCATTATGGATTTATGGACTTAGAATCCACCTCTCCTCTTATACTCATCTCTAAAACATTACTGAGATTTTGAAAAGGTCAGCCCTCTCGGGTTCATCCTGTTTAACCTCTCTTCAGTTCTTGACTTTGTTGAAAATATGTTCTTTCTGAAGATACCTTTTTATCTTAGATTATATCATACAACTTACTCTTGCTTCTGTTTCCAATTTCTTCTTGATAAATTAAAGATTTGTATATCACGGGCTTTTTGTACTTAGCCCTAGAGATTTAAAGGTCACATACACACTGAAACTTCTAACTCCACAACTCCCATGTCAGCATTTCCTCTGGTATAGTCACATAGATCAAACTGCTTAATCTTTTAGCTGGTTCTCAGAAGACTTCAAAGTTTGCATGTAAAAATCTAAATCACTATCTCCCATCTTCAACAACAAAAGGTATACAGCCACAGCCTGTACCCAGACCCTCATGACTGCTGACATTTGTGCAATAATATCCTGTATTCACTGCTTTAACACTTTTCCTATAAAAACAAAAAAATGCAAATTTACTACATTGAAAATTTCATTGACAAATCGAGTGACATAACATTGAGTGACATTGAAGTTATTGTCAAAATGTGGTAGATTTTTACTAATTCTGGTTGATTGGATAGAAATGAAATATCCACTCGGTGGACCATTCATATTTTATATCTAGAATAGAGAAAACCTGGCCATGTAAATGTACTTTTCATCATCTCTGGGCCACTGTCTGACTCTGAAGTAAGGAAAAGAAAAAAGGACTGTTCAAAATAGAGAACTTGGCAGCCTTTCTTCTATTGCATGATGAAGGTTTTTGTGGGTAGTTAGAGGGCTGTTCATCATCTGTGCATCTCTCTCTCTTTCCAGAAAACGAGTGTGCAAGAAGTATGTTGTAATTGAAGTGGCATATTGCCTGCCACCCAAGAGGTTGCTCTGTAAGTGGTGAGTTTTGAGGAAATAAGACTTTCATCTATTGTATCTTTTGTGGTGTCACAGCACTAGGAAACGTGTAGAAAATGATTTCAAGTAGTAAATGAAAGCTTTCCAGACATTAGGAATTAAAATAGAAACTATTTACATGTATGCCTTTATATATCTAAAAAAGGGATCCAGAGAGCACCACCTTGGCAGTAAGGAAAATCCAAAGACACAACAGAAAAAGATAAAGAGCAAAGAAAAATGCTCCCAAACAAAGAAGTTAAAATATCATCAAACATCAGATAAAATGCAATCCCCAGGAAATAATTATCTTAGGATTCAAAAGAAAACTTGGAAAAGTTGTTGATTGTTACCAATGAAAAACAATGAAGCTTTTTATTAAATAGTGGCAGAAATTCTCAAGGCTGAGAAAAATGGAAAAGAGCATGAGAAATAAAGTTATGCAAGGGAAATAAAGAAGAATAACAATAAAGAAAAAATAAAGAAGAACGACAAGGAAAACAAAACCATAATGACAGAATTTTAAAATCTTTATCAGAGACATATAAATTAAAATTGACATGGAGAGTAACAGGATGAGATCTGAGGAGCTGTTCCAGAATGCAGAAGAAAAGTTCAAAAGATAAAATTTATGATCTGGCTGGATACAGTGGCTCACGCCTATAATCCCAGCATTTTGGGAGGCCCAGGCAGCGGATCACATGAGGCCAGGAGTTCGAGACCAGCCTGGCCAACATGGTGAAACCCCATTTCTACTAAAAATACAAAAATTACCCAAGTGTGGTGGTGCACATCTGTAACCTCAGCTACTCAGGAGACTGAGGCATTAGAATCACTTGAACCCAGGAGGTGGAAGTTGCAGTGAACTAAGATGTTGCCACTGCACTCCAGCCTTGGTGACAGAGTGAGACTCTGTCTAAAAAAAAAAAAAAAAAGAGGGAAAACATAAGATATGAGAAAAACAGAAAATGAAAATTCAACTTAAGCATTATAGATTAAAGAAGACTTTTTGAGCAACAGGAAAAGAACAATAAAAGATAATTCAAATACATTTTTCTAAAGCAAAAATATATCAAAAATATTGAGAACATTCGAGACAATCTCATCAAAAGCATCTTGGCCCATCTTATACAGAACGTTAAATTCTAAGGTTAAATAAAATCAGAATTATCCATCAAACACATATCTTTTCCCCAAATACATATCTTAAGTCAATGGAGATGCATGTAAATACATCTTAATGTTTGTATTTTTAAATTTGTATCTTAAGAATTTTGTATCTACTAAGTTGTCTTTTATAAGTAAAGAAAACAGATACCTTTGATATGTAGAGACTGTGAAAGTATACCACCGACATGCTATTTTTAAAAGACTTTTTAAGACTTGCCTTCAAAACATGGTTCCAGTCATGTAACACAAAAATAGCTTAAAAAGTGGATACGTCAATTTAAAAAATATTTTGTATTGAGACTATTGCTGGAAAAGGTAACAGCAAAATCATCTAGCTAGCTAGCTAGATGGATAATAAAGAACAATAAGCAGACAGTAATAGGAAAGTCTGAAAAGTATAAAGCATGAGCAAAACAACAGAAGAGATATTAGATATAATTTTTGTAGCCCTTTTTCTCTACCTCCTTACTGCCCTTAAAAGGTCTGTATAAGAAACCCAGAGAGCTTGTGGTGCTCCTGTCAATAATCTCTCTCTTTTCCCAATACTACCAGACCCCCATTGCAAACTTGCTGAAATATCAACCCTGTAAGTTTATAATTTGTATTTATATTCACATTCCCTATAGAAACTACCAGGACTAACAATAATCACTCCTTATATTGCTATTCTCCTTAGCCACCACATGCAACACAAGCTTTCCAGGTTATCCCTGTGTTAGAAAAGGCATACCTGTGAAGGCAAAATGTTGACCTCATAAGCTCCAAGGAGGTTCAATCCTGCCATTGCATTGTATCTAGTGGCTTTCGACCTTATTAGGCCCAATGTCCTTCTCATATAACAAATATTTTATAGTGGTTTATTTTCCTAAAATAAAACAATATAATGAATATGCATGCATAATTTTTAAAATTGTAAAGAATAATAAAATAGAAAAATATAGAAGCAATTATTACAAAATGATACGTGTGTGTGTTAGTGTTCAGCCATGACAACACAAGAAGAGACAACAAAGCAGTTAGATTCTTATGATACACAAAATTAACAGAATATGATGGCTATGAAGGCAAAGTGAGAGAGAAAACATTTCATTAGTGACTCAAATATAGATCGGTGGTGTGCTTTGTAATGTGGTTTTCCAACACATTGAATAACATCTAATAAATTTTCAAACAAAATACAAAAAATCTTCCTTCAAGTTGGAAAGAGTTCCTATTCCTAGAAAATTTACTATTAATTAAAGTCATGTAGAAAATCTTTGTGTTATATGTTAAACAAAGATATATTGTAAGTGGCCAAAATTCCGACCAGGTTTTTCATATATATTAAAGCTCAGTGGGATGTTTTAAGGTTGTGTATAGGTGCTGGTGTGTGATAAAGAAACTTTTTTTATCTATGTGTTTATTTTAAGTACTATGATGTGCTATTCATTATTTAGCACCTTTAGCATTCTCCCATTAAGTGGTGCTTCCCTAATCATTGTGACAACCAAAAAACACAAATTTCCACAATACCCCCCAGGAGCAAAGTACTGCTTTTGCTGAGAAACTTTCATTTAGTTAGCTTGAGAAGTGTATTAAAACCAGGAAGGGGAGAGGAGGTGGAGCCAAATGGTTAAATAGAAGCTTTCACAGATTATCTGCCCCTCAGAAACACCAAATTGAGCAACCACACACAAAAACACTTTCATGAGAACGAAACATTGGGTGAGTGATCACAGTACTTGGTTTTCACTTCATATCACTGAAAGCTGCACTGAAGTGGGTGAGAAACACAGTCATGAATTGCTGACGCCATACCTCCCCGCCACCAGCAGAGGCTGTGTGGCCTGGAGAGAGAATCTGCACTTTGGGGAGGGAGACCACAGTGATCATGGGACCTTGCACTGGAACTCAGTGCTGCTGCTCTGTCATAACAGCAAGAAACACTGGGCAAAACTCAGATGGTGGCCAGGAGGGAACATTCAGACCATCCCTACCCAGATGGGAATTGCCCATTCCAGCAGTCAGAACCTAAGTTCCAGGAAGCCTCAGCACCACAGGTCAAACAGCTCTGGAGTTCTAAATAAACTTAAAAGGTAGTATAAGCCACAGGACTACAATTCCTGGGCAAGTCCTGATTCTGTACTGAGCTCAGAGCCAGTGGACTTGGAAGAACGCATGACCTAATGAGACACCAGCTGTGATAGTCACCCTTTCCCCAGCCACAGGCAGCACAGCCATAGCACTGGGAGACACTTCTTCACTCCACTTGAGAAGAGGAGAGAGGAGCGTAAAGAGGACTTTGTCTTGCAAGTGAGATACCAGCTCAGCCATAGTAGAATAGGGTACCAGACAGAGTCCAGAGGTCCAACTCCTTTACAACATTTCTAGATACACCATGGGCCAGAACGGCACCTGCTGTCTTGAAAGGAAGGACCTAGTTTTGGCAGGATTCATTATCTGTTGACTAATGAAAATCGTTGGGTCCTTAATAATCAGTATGGGTACCTCGCAGTTCTTGCTGTGGGTCTTGGATGAGCCTCATAAACATACTGGCTTCAAGTGTGATGAAGCACATTCCCAACTGTGATGACTATAAGGATGGACTCCTTTTGCTTGAGAAAAGGAGAGGGAAGCATAAAGTTGACTTTATCTTGCAGCTTAGGTACCAGTTCAGACACAGTGGGGTAGAGCACAAAGTAGTCTCTTGGGGTCATGAATTCAAGGTCGTGGTTCTTAGATGGCATTGCTGGACCTGCCCTGGGCCAGAGGGAAGTCCATTTCCCTGAAGTAAGAGTCCCAAGCCTGGCAGCATTCACCAGAATCTAACTAAAGAGTCATTGAACCTTGAATGAGCATCAGCAGTATCCAGTCAGTATTTGCTATGGGGTGAGGTAGGGGTGGTCATAAGGGAAGACGCCTCTGCTTGTGGAAAAGGGAGGAAGGGAACAGTGGGAAGCACCTTTGCCTTGCCACTTGCTTGCCAGCTAGGCCACAGTAGAATAGAGCACAAAGTAGATGCCTAAGTTTTCTTCTTTTAAGTCCTGGCTCCTAGACTGCATCTCTGGATGAACCTGGGATTGAAGGGAACTTGAAGCCTGAAGGGAAGGACGCAAAGGCTGGCTGACTTCACCATCTGCTGATTGTAGAGCCCCAGGGCCTTGAGTGAACATAGATGGTAGCCAAGTAGTGGTTACAACAGGGCATGAGGGACATCCAGTGCTGTGCTGGTGGCAGGTTTGACACAGTGCAGTCATAGTGGTAGTGGTCACAAGGGATCTTGTGTCAGCCCTTCCCCACCTTCAGGCAGCTCAACACAGGGAAAGAGACTCCATTTGGGGGAAAAAGTAAGGGAAGAGAACAAGAGTCTTTGACTGGTAATCCAGATAATTCTTCCATATCTTATCTAAGACCACCATAGTAGTACTTCTGAGTCTGCAAGAGCCACAGTGTAACTGGACTTGGGGTGCCCCCTAGTGTGGATATGGCTGCAGTGACCAAAATTTTAGATCACAACACCCAACTCCCTTCAATTACCGGGAAATCCTTCCCAATAAGGATGTGTACAAACAAGCCCAGAGTGCAAAGGCTACAATAAATACCTAACTTCTCAATGCCCAGGCACCAATGAACATTTGCTAACATCAAGACCATCCAGGAAAACAAGACCTGACCAAAAAAACTAAATAAAGCACCAGCGACTAGTCCAGGAAAGACAGAGATATGTGACTGTTCAGAAAAAAAAATTCAAAGTAGCTATTTTGAGGAAACTTAATAAAATTCAAGATAATACAGTTAGCGAGAAATCAGAATCCTATTGGAAAAGTTTAACAAGAGATTGAAATAATTGAAAA